CAAATTGATAGTGGCTTGCGGGAACAGGCAGAATCAGGGTGCAGGCAGGTGCAGGTGGGTTCAGGTGGGTTCAGGTGGGTGGAAGCGGGAAGATGATTCGAGTCGCGCCAGGACTTGTCGCCCTTGGCTCCAGCTTCTCCTCCAAAGCGACCAGTTTTGCCGCAGCTGCCGGAGTCTCCTCTTCCTTTTCAGCCTTGGAGCAATGAGCCCACGGTCGATCCTATTGATTTCCTGTCACTTCACACAGCTGCTTGTTGTCATTTGGTCGTTTGTCATGTTTTGTCGTGTCTATTTGTGCTGATTGAAGCAGATGGCATTTCGTTCCCAAGCATCGAGCTGACCGTATGCTTTCATATCACAAAAGGTAGCCTAGCCTACCTGAGTTCAATGTACTTTAGTAACAGTATCTTTAGTACTGGTGGCTGGGTCTCCCCCCTCCCCCATTCGATTCCTCCGTGGTCCGTGAAATTTTCTCTCATCCCATTCGCTCATTCCAGCAGTGTTACGAGCTCTTCTCCCAATAATTGGCTCCAACCATTATTCATCACCAGTTTCGTTTATTTCTCATGTTTTCTTTGCATCGCTGTTGCCGTAGCACTCCTTCACACTTTCCCCTCTTCCTTTTCCTTATTTTCTGTCATATTATTTGTTCGGCAAGCCTCTTCAGTTCCGTTTTTGATTCAATTTCTTTCAATGTACCTTTGAAATCCTTTGAATTTATCTCCTCCCAATGTTTGCAAGGTTCATCCCGATGATTTTGCTACATTGGCATGCCTAGCGCCGTAATAGCACTGCTTGTGCTCTTCTTTCAATATCTTTTCACATTTGATTTGTCGAAAATGGCGTTGCATTGGTGCAACGCTTCTCCCGACTCTTTTTTTTGCATCAAGTTCAAAGAGAAAGAGAAAGAGAAGATGAAGATGCAAATGAAGATACATATTTTGTCCTGCTATATGTTTTCTATTGTTTTCTATACGCTTTTTGTCAAAGGCCATGTGCGGGGTAGAAGTTGCTGAACATGCTGGCAGAATTTGTATCCAAGCTTATGTTTCTGCGTCATTGTGGGAGCCTACCTGTGCTGTATAAAGCGCAGACATTACGCCCACCCAAGCCTCTGGGGTGGACACAGTTCAAGTTTGGTGGACTTTGTTTCCAAACGGGCTTACAACATACTGAAACCTTATCCGATACCTCTCAAATGTTCCAGTTCCTAAACACCTCCCACAAGAAACTGCCGAACAGCAGTACTCAGTAGCTGCAGTAGCTTGAATCTCTTTTCGTTCCCTCCCCCAAACCTGGCAGTTTCTCACGGTCAAATCAAAGGCAAACAAATTGTGAAAAAGGGATTCAGGGGAGTATAAGTTCATGGTTCTTATGGTTTTATGTTTTTTTAGCCTTGGTTTTAGTGATTCTCTGGGGCATTGTTTGGGGTGGTTTGGGGTCTTAACTTTCACTTTTGATGTTTGGAATAGATGAGAGTAGGATTTGTTTTGACTGTTTGGGTTTTACGTTTGGGTTGGGGTCTCTGATGTTTATCATCTCTCCCTTCCACCAGTGTTCAATTGACATGCTCTATTTTGCAGATCTATATCATTCATGATCGCTTTGGCTATACCATATTATGCCATGTTTTGCAATATTGTACCACATAATAAATAATATCATATAATATAACATTATACCATGAATTACATTAAATTGCTGCCTTGGCATGTGTCCGATTGGTCGGTTGCATTTTCTCTCTGCGGTTGTCACGTTGTGTCAGAGGTCTTGGAGCTGACTTTCAAGCCTCGCCGACCCGCCTGGGATGTCCCTGGAGTTGCTGGAGAGCAGCCTTGGTGGAGCCGATATGCAGAAGTACTTTCCGCAGATCTGCGTGGTTTGGCATTGCAGAAATGTCATGCAGATGCCATGGCTGCCATGGCTGCCATGGCTGCCATGGCTGCCATGATAGATTCTTATAGATTCTATAGATACTGTTCATTCCTACAGATTGAGATGAAGATGTTTGCGCTATGAGTTTGCCACTTTGAGGACTCAAGTGTCCAGTCACTTCTTGGTTTTGTTCTTTTTGTACCTTTGGCTCCGAGGATATCAAGCTGTAGGCCGAGCTGTGATGTGGCTTGATGCAGCTATCTTTCTGGCAGATGCAGAATGTGCAAAGCCCCTGGCGAAGTGGGGGTGCTACGCCCAAGTTAATGCCGCTGGGCACAGGATTCACGAAAGCTTCTGCAAGCTGAAGCTGCTCTTGCTTTGGCTGGCGGGACAGGAACCGCCAATCATGTGATAACTTCACAGTTCTACCTTGTGGATGGGGGGGGGGCAAGCCTCGTAACCTGATGTACATGGGCTCGATTCTGCGTACCCTTTTTCGCAATCATTGTTTTTTGCAGTCATTTTGTCCTCGTCGTCTCGCCTTCGGGGGAAGATTTTGTTCCAGCTCACGTCATGTGTGGACAAATCGATCCAACAACGCTGAAAGAAGTTGGAGTATGATTCATTTTTCTTAGGAAAAAGTAGGTCGAACTGTTGGGTTAGGTTGGTGGCATCGTCGTCATAATGGCCATCATGGTCATCCAGGTCATTATGGTAATCAGCATCATCACCATCATCACTCAAAGCATCGTCACTGTCATCGTCGTGATCATGACAATCATCAGCATCACAATGAATCAAATTTATCCCCTCCCTGTCCTTTCCTTATTTTTTCTGTTTTCTTTATTTTTTCCTTTTTCCTTTTTTTTTAAACACATTTTTTCTGTTTCTTCCCTTTTTATTCCTCTGTTCCTCCACTTCATCCTCTTCGTCCCCTTCGTCCTTTGCGTCCTTTCCGTCGTTTTTGTCCTCTTCGTCCTCTTCGTACCCCTTCTTCCCTCCTCCTCCTCCTCATCATCATCCCCATCATAGTCATCATTTTTGCGACCATCACCTTCATGAACATTGTAACCATCATGACCATCATGACCACCATAATGACCATGATGACCATGATGAACATAATTATTGCCGGCAATGTTTCTTGGTTGCTTACTTGATCTTTCTTGGAAAAACATTATTGCTGACTTTGAACATGTACGGTATGAGCTCTACTGAAATGCCTGCCAAACTAGTTTTCGTCCCTTACCCGTCGCCTCAAGTTGCCAGTGCTCAAAATGGCAATGCAAATTGGATGAAATTGGTCTTCCTGTTGCTCACACTTTGTGTTGCCAAGGATTTCTTGCAGCTGGCATTCTTGATGCAGACTATGCTGCAGGCAAAGCTGTGACTTGATGAGTTGTTGCAAATAGATAGGGGTTCTTTCTCTCTCTCTCTCTCTCTGTGGCTCCTCATCTCAGAGCTGTCCACCAAGTTTGTCTTCCTCATCTCAGAGCTGTCCACCAAGTTTGTCTTCATTTGCAGCTGACCCTTGCATGTCCATCTTTGAGCTTTTGCAACATGTACATGATTGTACATTATTTTACAGATACCTAAACAATATGTGTACACAGACATGTTGTCCCTGTGAAGGTCTCAGCTTTGGGGAGTGTAAGCAAAGCTTGGCGCTTCAGCGGCTCCTCAGACTTTCCGATTCTTGTACGAGGAGAGCTGATTTTGGCTGCTTGGCATGCAGCTTTGAGCCACACCTTGTCACAGCTTGTTTGCACAGCTTGTTTGCACAGCTTGTTTGCACAGCTTGTTTGCACCATTTGTATTTGCATGGCTTTAAACTTGTGTCGGGTTTCACTCTTATGCAAGTGAACACTGTCATGTTGCATGCTCGAAGGCAGCTATGTTGTCCATGATTTCATTGTCGAGCCATTGCCTCTGTGGCTGGGCAACCGTCTGAGATTCTCATACTATTCTGACGGTGAGTTATGTGTGGATCTGTCTGCTTCAAGCAAAGGACAAACCAACAAGTTTTTTTTCTCCCTCTACTCAAGCCTGGAAAATGCCGTGCACTAGCTGAGGCTACTTCGTTGACTTCCGTGACTTGTCATTCGGTGTGTAGAGAAGCAGAAACGCTCAAAGTGGTTTGAAAAGGCTTACAAAGTGGTTTTCAAAGTTCATCAAAGTTCTTTACTCTGCTTTGAAGACTTCTTTGGAAGGTGAAGTCGCTGCGTGGCTTGGTGCCCTAAGAAGCCTGCGTTTGGCAATGACATCCGGCAGCTCACGTTTTTGTCAGTGCCTGGCAGACATTTTGCCGGCCGTGGGCCCAGACCAACTTGGTACCTTTTCCATGCTTCAACCTGGTTTTCAAGGCACCATTGATTGTTTCCAGCTAGAGTGAGGTAGGTCGGTCATGAGAGGAAAGCAACTCCGACTGCGCTCCTGAGGCCATGACACAGATGCTCGGTTTGATATGCGTCGTCCAATATACCTTTGCAGCGACTGCGTTGGAGATCTTGGGCCGGCAAAATGCACCAGGATTTGCCTGTCCCTCAGGTCTTAAGGTGAGAATGAGACGAAGAACGGCAAAGAAGAAATGCTGATGGCATTTGTGGACAATGGATGAACATAAATGATCATAAATGGTCCATGGATTTCCATGGTATAGGTGATGGTTTTCAGTCATTGAAACTGCGTTGTGGGCCATGTCCAGCTTGCTGAGGTCACCTTTCCTGATGCAGCGATGTCGCTTCTTCAAATTCTTCTCAATGCCGATGGGATCACGATGGCACGAGAGAACTTACAAAAGGCAACTCGACAGAAACGCAGCCTATTTCAGGAAACTCTGTATAGAAAAAATATGAAAAAATGCAGATCACTTCCGAAGATTCGTGCTTGGCCTCCTTGGCGGTCCTTGTGCTTTGACTGCAAGGCACATCCAGCGGCTGGCATCATATTTGTGGCATACTATGCGATTGCGGTCCTTGTGGTCGTAAATCTTGTCACAGCGCTGGACGCTGAGTTTTTCCATACCGCATGCCATTATGTTTTGATTGATGTTGCTCTTTTGCATTTTTTTACTTACAAATTTTACAAACCATGGGATGTCCCAATCTCGACCTTGTTCGAGGCTCATGATTGAATTCTATCGAGCGAGTTTGGCCGAGAACGTGGAACGGTGTGAAGCCAGGCGGTCTGAGCTCACAAGACAGGTTCAGGCGCATCAAGTTCAGCCCACTTCACAATGTGCTTTTCAAATCCACTACTGAGTGTAGACACGCAGAACAGTTTTTCTTTTGCCAGCTTCCTCTTTACTTTTTTTAAATACAATTTTACACACTTTTGTGGTCAGGATTTGCTTCGAGAGATGGAGGTTGTTGAGAATCTGGGCTTCGAGGTGGCTGGAGGGTCCAAAGAGAGCCTTGCTGGCAACTGGGTGAAGTGCTGTGCGAATAGAGACAATAGAGACAAGAAAAGGCATCAACCATTGCCAAACTCCCAGCTTTCACAGGTTATCATTGTTGCCCAATGGGCCCAATGAAACAATCTAGATCAATCATGATCAATCTAGTAGGCTATGTAGGCTTAGATCAATCTCAGTGTCTTAGTAGGTCTAGCTCGCTGAGGACTGGCATCGAGAAGCTTCGAGAAAGTTTTCTTGGTCGTGGTCAAGACATCGTTGATGAGGAGCTGCTTCGTCAGGCGCCGGAGCTTCGCTAAGACGAGCAGCTGCGCAGCTCACGTTTCGGTCGTTTTCGCTGTTTTGGTCTCATTTCTCTGGCCCTGCATTGGAAGCTTCTCCTTGCTCTCTTGCTCTCCTTGCAAGGTGCAAAAGGAAGCCCCGCTGGATCTTCTGAGGTTGCATCGTTCAAAAAGCGGGAGCTTTGGTTCGGGCAGTAATCCCGCATCTCCTGGAAGGCACTGCACATAGTTTTTGAATGTTCTTGAGTTCCCCAGACAATAAGCGTTCTACAGAGGGCCGATGTAGAGAAACAGATTTGAATGGGATTTGGCAAGTCGATGAATTGGAAGTTGAATCAAATCTGAGAATGGGTCCTCAAAAGTCCTGAGTTGGCCGTTGCGGACGGGAGAACTCCACCTTGACGGGATCCAAAGCGGATCCAAGGACGACTTTGTGCAGCTTTGGCATTGCCACATACCCACAACCGTAGACATTCGCAAAGGATCAAAACCCGCAAAGAGCATACAGAACAAATTGAAATAATGAGCAAAAAAGGATACTTCCTTTCGCTGCTTCTTTGTTTTTTTCAATGGCGTGCAGTGAATGTTTGGCACAATGCCGGCAGTGACATAGCATAGCCATGCATAGCCTATTTCTTTGAAATATTTCCAGATATTTGTGCTGTCAGTGAGAAAGCAGCATTGGCAGCAAAGCGCCGATGAAGTCACTGAGTTCATCCACGAGAGATGTTGTACACATTGTGACGTCAATGTCTTGAATTCCCAGGGCATGCCGAAGGTTCTATGCCCTGTGCATTCTAAGAGGTTCGCATCGGTTGATTTGTTTTCAAGTTAAACCATTGAGCCTCTGAATCTTTGGACCCTGCAAAAGTACTGCGGTTCCAGCTTCTACAGCGCTTGCATCGTCCTTGGCTGTTTTTTTTTCTACATTCTACATAAAAACAGCACAGCGATTCTTGAGAGTTCACAGTCTGGCTCGATGATGGGATTCCTGCTGGATGCACTGTTCAAACTCGGAAGATTTGAGGTTCAAGTGTCCTTTTTCTTTGGGGTCGCGCAATTGCAAATGCCATAGGACTTTCAGATTTAGCTTCGAACATCGGACTTGCGTGCAGTGTGCTTGGCATGCGCCATGGGACATTTTAGCTTGTTTGCTCCTCAAGTATTTGCTGCCGCAAGTACATGTTTTTGGAAGAAAAAGGGTAGTGACATGAGAAATTGCATTTGCACTTAGACACATATTTGTCTGTTTTGCGAAGCACCTGGGGCCATACACACATGGGTACAAACACATGACGGAAAGGAAGACACACACACACACAGATAGTGAAAGTCCAGGGAGGATTCGGAGAAGTACAACATGTTCTGAGCAATGGCTTCTGTTGCGACTGGTACAGTCAACTCACGGATTCGGAGTGCTCCCTTCCTGGCCAATCAGATCCGATCTCAAAAAAGGGATTTTGCAAGGGAGTTTGGTGTGCAAAGGTTGCAGAGCTTTGTCTTCTCCTTCGGTCCAATTTTAGCTCTGCGAGCACGGCGAGATGCTCAAGGGCGCAAGAACGCTAAACCAAAGCGAGATATGGAAGTGATACAGCGCTGTGCCGGTCGCGTGGCAGTCATTGGCGCTGGGCCAGCAGGCCTGGCTGCGGCGTTGGCATTGAGACGAGATGGTTTGGATGTCAACATCTACGAACGTTCTCCAGAGTTGCGGTTGCCTGACTCAGACTGCGAATTTACTACAAAATTGTAACGCCTACTGGCCTCCGACTGAACCCCGCTTTTCAGTGGCGCAATACTCAGATTCACCCGACATGTTCAAATTCATTTCTATTTGCAACACCTTTGAAGAGAAATATTTTGGCTACAATGCATACGTATGGATTTCCGGGGTTTGAAAAATACCCCCAGTCCTTCACCATTCACAACCATCATGCAATTCTATGTAACGGTAACGAAAACACCGAAACAAAGATCACAGCAAATCAGTTCAAAAATAGTGTCTCTCATTGTCTCCCTCTCTTTCTCTGTGTTCAGTAACTTCTCAAGGTGTGTAAGTGCGGACTGCAGGTCTCCTCCACTCCACTATTTCTAATAGCAGCATTGGTGAGAGTGCAGGTACTTTGGTCGGCTTTCCCTGGCTTTGGGCCATTGGGACAAGTGATCCTACTTTTCTAAGCTGGTCAAGAAGCATTGGGCGCAGTAGCTTTAAGAGTTGTTGGAACGGGCCCTTGAGGGGGGTTACGATTTACATGAAGTTTGCAGCTGCGGCCGTCTTCTTGACTATGCCTAGGCAGTCGTGGAAATTCAATACTTCATGGGCTTCATGACTACTTTCAGTTTGTTGGGATTGGCATGATTAGTGTTTGTCCGAGGCCTGGTATAGGCGGAGGCGTTCAGTTGCATTCTGGTGCTGCGTTGCTTCAAGATCTTGGCGTCGACCTGGGCTTTGCTCAGCCTATGCGTCGAATCAGGCTGTGGTGTTTTGCTGTTTTTGTGTGTCAGCATTTCGTGGTGGCAGAGCGTGACCAGCGCTGTGACATGAAAGCAAGGGGTCGGTAGGTCAAGTTGCGGGTGGCAGCATTTGTATATAACTATTACAGGCGTCACGAGAGCTGGCTTATATCAGCGTAGTGCTCGAGCCAGTTACATTGGGCAGCAATGTGTCAGTGCAGTCCCTGCGGTTGGGTCGGGAATTTGTCACCAGAGGTACAGGAATGTTTTCATGAATTGTGTACAAGGCGGTGTGAGAATCGAGACGGTTGTGCCTGAAGAGCCATTGCTTCCAGACAGACAGACAGACAGACAGAAAGACAGACAGACAGACAGAAAGAAAGAAAGACAGGCTCACAAAAGACAAACATGCATCAGGAGCAGGGCTGTGGACGGCTCTGAGCTGCTCAAGCTGGATTTGCCAAGCTTGATGGTGCCCAGTCTGAAGCCATTGCTGAACCCCAACTTCATTTGAAAAAAGCTTTGGTTTTAGGCTGAAAAGCAGTACGCATTAGCATAGGTGGTGATACTTTTGACAACTGAGACTGCTGCAACTCAATTCTGCGCGCGAACTCAGCAGATCTTCGGCTCTGAGGACCGCTTCAAAATGTTTGTGGGTTCCGTGCGTCAGCCAAGCGGCGATCCAGCCAGCTGCACGGCCGCTTGCCCGTTTGTTCTCTCTTGCTGCAAGAGATGTAGTTGCTGGGAGGCACAGGTAAAGCAACATGGAATCTTGTGACAAGTGCCTTTGCGTGTTACTTGCCATTTGTTTCACTTTCCTTTGCATCACTTCGAGCAAGGTGATGCGTGATGCGCTCCTGAGAGCCATTGCTGACCAATTGCCACCCAATTCCCTTTTTCTTGGAAAAGAGCTTGAAGATGTGAAACAAACTTCACACGGCAAAGTGAAACTTGGACGTATACTGTCAGTACATGCGCTGATATGAATACAATCTCTGGTGGCATATGGTATCATTTTAGGCGGTGCAAACCTTGTTAGAACCCTTGTTCAACTTGTCAGGATTTGTCGTTTCGGAGATTCTGAGGAGGACGTGTTTTCGTGCTCTTGTGCAGCAAATCAAATCAGCATAGCATAATTTTTTGGACCAATTTCCTCTTGGAGGAACATGGTCGTAGGCTTGTCAAGCCACCTGCAGCACTAGCACATGACTCTTTCAATGCATAGACTTTTGTGGAGGACTTTGATTTGGTCATAGGTGCTGATGGTATTGGAAGTCTTGTACGTGGAATGGTGCTTCAAGAAGTTGACAAGAAGCCGCGATACACAGGCACCACTACCCTGATTGCAAGAAGACAACTCCTGGAATCGCATATGCACATGATACATTCTTGTGCTGGCCTACCTTCAGAGTGGGAAATCAGAATCTGTTTCTGACTTCACACTGCCTGCTAGGTAGCTGCTAAATTCGATTATTTGAAATTATTTGTATTTATTTGTGAGTTTTGGAGCCGAAGCTGCACACACAGTCGTATACCGTATACACATTCAGAGGCTTGCCTCAACAAAGCTCAGTAGCTTTCAACAGTTTCCTCGATTTTCAGCGTCTAGGACTTCGCATTCAATATGGTGTCAGAGAAGCTGGAGCAAGACCAACTGGGTGTGAGGAAGAGGTTCATCAGTGGTTTGGTGAAGGCAGGAGGCTAAGCTAAGCCATCAGAATGTCCACTATGCCATTGCAGCAACATCATATAAACCAGGTTCGTGCGCCAAGCCGATGATAATAAAGTGAATCTCAGGACACGGAAATTTCCTCCCTGAGCAAGCTGGATGCCAGCAACATTATGAGTACGTTGCAGTTACAGTTGTGCTGCAGAAACATTCCACATGAAGCATCGCAGACATTCATTTTTACTTGTATCATGTGCTTTCTGTAAGCCTTTTTGGGTTGAAAGCCTGCTCTGAACCCTGATGGGAGGTGTTTATGCTCTAACAGCCACCTATGGAGGTCTTGACGGCAAACAATTTGAAATGCTTGCTGTGGTCTTCAGGGATGATTCTCCAGTGGCGGAGAATGCAAACTGGAATCCAGCCGAGGTGAAGGACCAAAGTGTGTCGAGGCATCAGAATGGCATGGTGAAGCAGCAAAGGGTTGATAAAATTGATAAACACTTGCTAAGCAAAATTAAACAAAATCGAATCCGATGTTTTGTATTCTGGCACATGGCAAAGACGCTTTCTCTCAGTGAGTCCCCGTTGTAGCTCAGAAACTTGCATAGGACAGTTGCCTTGAACGACTTCAAGCAGCAGGTCATGTTGAAGAAGTCCTGGAACTGGCTAAGGGCTGCAAGCGCTACTTTGAGCTTGGCGTTTGCGAGAGGCAGGTGCATCCTAGGACGCTTTTAGACTTCACAGATTGTCTTGCTTGTGGTACCCTTGGAACCATCAGATTTGTCTTTGTCATGCATCTTTTCAATGTATGTACAAACAAGTGCATGTAAATATATGGCTAGATATGTGTATACAGGTCTGTGTGTATATTTTGTTGCCGATGTACATGTCTATACTATGTTTGTGTAGATTTGTTGTATATACTATACGTAGATACATGTATACTGTATACGTATATATATAATATATATATATCTTATAGAGAGCTTGTTCAGAGATCTCTTCAAGAGTCTTGCCAAGAGACCTCTTAAAGGTCTTGTCCAGAGATCTTGCCAGGACACCTCTTATGGAGATCTTGCACAGAGACATTGCATAGGAGATCTTGCCAA